TTATATAAGTTTATGATAAACTGAAAATTTTAGTCGTTTGCAGTTGGGTGATTTCGTATGTGATCACGTTCTCGTGTGAAATAAATTCTAGGCTTTTGCTGTTGTAGGGACTTGCTGTTGATTGATTATTTAGTTTTCCTTGGTTTGGTATTTTCTTTAAATATTACATAGCACTCCAATCTCCTGAAATATAGTGGTTATAAAGCAAAGCGTGACCTCGAGACTTGGTGACAATCTAGTCTGTGACGTATATTGAAATTAATTCAACTATTGGCTAATATTCTTATAGCTGTCAAAACTTGTAGTTATTACATATATGTGACAACTATGAAGAGAAACTTTAGTTTTTCATAAAACATGGTTCTATATTAAATTCATGCAAAAGATCCACTAAGTGGTATTACTCTTGGTTGAAGCGAACACTGAAGCACTCCATACATTTACCGGACTGTGTAGAAAGCTGCAAGTTAGTTTGTACAAAATGATTGGCAATTAAAAGTTGGAATTACACTCATAAAACTGAGTACACTCACGCTGCCACAATAACATCTGTGTATCAATTCAGAGTTCATTACATAAACTGATAAAAAAAATTAAAGCTTGTATAAAATTAGGCTTGTTCATGAAAAACACAAAGAAAAATTATTGTTTGCACACTCAATTTTTCAGTTAAATCTTTTATTAATTGTTGTATTTTTCAATTCCAATTATTTTTCTCTCATTCTTGATTCCCACCTCAATTGGCTTAGCGATAAGTCTGGGGGCTTATAACGCTATAAATCAGATTTTGATACCCCAGGTGGACAGAGCACATTGCATAGCTTTGCGTTTAACAATAAACAAACAAATCCTGATTTTTTTACAAAAATTATACTTTCCACTCTAGATCGACATGAGTAGTAAATTTGGAAACAAGAACCCATCGTGAAAAATACCCGGATAATGAAAGTTAAGTAGATATGCAATTTGACTAATTTTTTTAGAAGAAAACTATATACTCAGCTCTGCCTTTAGTGAAAGCTCGACCGATCCCGTGAAAGTGTACAAGTAAAAGTGAACACTCACTCCATAATGGGCTTTCTTTTTGAAGCTCTTGTAATGCACTTTAAATGTCTTACCTTAGTGACTGTACACATTATTTTAAGAAAACTGCACTCCGTCTTTTTTTTTCTCTTGAAAACGCAAAAAATACGCACAAATTTGCTAAAAATTATCACAATATAAGAAAGGGAAATAGTTCGGAAGTGAGTAGGTGTTGAAGTCGAGTCAAGAAATCTAGTAGAAATGACAAAAGTAATTGCGTCACTCTTGTTCAAAGCAGCCCATTTCACAGTAGAGATGTGGTCAAGATTTCTACTGTCTGAACTTGGTAAATTTAATGCATTGAATTTAATAATAGTCTTGAATTTTGTTTGTACAGAAAACTATATTCTACATCAAGAAGTAAGAAATATCCTAAAAAAATATAAATAACCTTAAAAAATATTTTAATTATGAAATACTTCTCTAATTAAGGCTTAAACGATTATTCTAATTCTATTATAAACCAGAAGTTAAATGGTGTGAATCAGAAAAGAGCGGGAAAAATTAAACAGAAGCAATATCTTTATTCTCTGTATTGTAGCTGGATATTTTATTACTGTATATTTGGTTTGTTATGGGAACAAATCAAAAGGGTGAAAATTTTACTTGCAATCTTTGACTTGTAGATTTATGTTATAGTGTGAGTTTTATTCGACTCAACTTTTTACAACGGCTACTGCAGTAGTGATGTATGGGTTCTATAAAATAATTCCATTTTTCAATATATGGAAAAGTTTCACATGATTTGGTCTGCTTTTAGACTTCTAAGTTAACATGCGAAGTTTCATCTGGATCGGTCAACTTGTTTAGGGGAAGATGCGTTCACAGACAGACAGAAAGTTTTCCGTGATATTGGATAGTTACCACACCGGTATTACTTAATATTTATATTGCATATTCTTGTATTCAGATCTGCCTCACTTCACTCGCCAGAGCTGGAACAAAATGCGTATTAAAGTTTACAGTGTATGATAAGTATTAAAATAGTATATTGTATATACACATTAGTTCCTTCAGATCTGTAACCTTTTTAAATGATAGAATAATCAAAATAATAATAGTATATTAATAATCTCGACTTAGATAGTTGTTAATGTTAAATACAATTCAGGCTGTACTCTTTCACAGAAACTTGTGGATCTCTTTCGTCACTCAATTATTGCACGTGAACAAATGCATCTTGGGTTAACAAAGCAATCGGTGAAATAGGAAGGTAATACACGATGGAATTCCATTTTTAAAATGAATGAAACAAATGGAAATGTTACAAAGCCAGTTGTGAGGAAAAGGCGGATATGCATGAGAATGATTGGGATTTTATGAGGCCTTTATGTGATGTAATGAAACCCCTGGTTGGGAAAACAACCAGGCTCTCTGAAGAATAAAATGTGAGTACATCTGTACTTCTTGGGGCTATTACATAGCTTGTGGATAGACTTCTTGGGGCTATTACATAGCTTGTGGATAAACTTCTTGTGACTGTTACATAGCTTGTGGATAAACTTCTTTGGGCTATTACATAGCTTGTGGATAGACTTCTTGGGCTATTACATAGCTTGTGGATAGACTTCTTGGGGCTATTACATAGCTTGTGGATAGACTTCTTGGGGCTATTACATAGCTTGTGGATAGACTTCTTGAGGCTATTACATAGCTTGTGGATAAACTTCTTGGGGCTATTACATAGCTTGTGGATAAACTTCTTGTGACTGTTACATGGCTTGTGGATAAACTTCTTGTGACTGTTACACAGCTTGTAGACAGATTTATAGTGGCTGTTACACAGCTTGTACACAGATTTATAGTGCTGTTACACAGCTTATAGACAGATTTATAGTAGCTGTTACACAGTTTGTAGACAGATTTATAGTAGCTGTTACACAGTTTGTAGACAGATTTATAGCAGCTGTTACACAGCTTGTAGACAGATTTATAGTAGCTGTTACACAGTTTGTAGACAGATTTATAGTGGCTGTTACACAGCTTGTAGACAGATTTATAGTAGCTGTTACACAGCTTGTAGACAGATTTATAGTGGCTGTTACACAGCTTGTGGACAGATTTATAGTGGCTGTTACACAGCTTGTAGACATATTTATAGTAGCTGTTACACAGTTTGTAGACAGAT